GAGAGAGAGAGAGTGCTGCTTTCACGCAGCTATGTATGTCGTCGCCTGGATATGAGACTTATAATCATAGGACTTCTTAAGAAGTACCTCTTGGTTCAGGAAAAGCCCGCCTATCTCTGCTTCTCTCTCCAAATACATATACATATACATCAAAGAAATGTATATATATATATATAACGATAGTACGGACCCGTCTAGGCACCAGCGGTCGGTTTCGCTAAATCCTAAATCCCGAAAGATCCCAAAAGATCCCGAAAGCATGAACCCTGCACCCGAAGCGGAGTCCTCGCAAGGAAATACCGGGATAGTAAAGCTTTTAAGGTCCAAAAGCCACGCTCTCACAGTTTCTAAATCCCAAAGCCCTTGAAGCCCTATAATAAACACTTCTATTGACAAGATGTCATGAACCATGCCCTGTAAACCACAAAATGTGTACTTCCGCCCCCAAAGCCAAACATCCTGGGGTAGGCATCTTAAAACGCTTTAAAGCCCAGTGAGCCCCTTGCGGAACCCTTAAAAAAGCATTCGCCACTAACAGATCCTAAATCGCAAAAATCAAACCCTAAACCCTAAAACCCTTGGAGCCCTTGTAAGGAACCGGGGGAAGCCTTTCAGGGAAAAGAGATCTTCGCCCACATTGATCTGCAGATCCTCTGGCCTCGGAGCAGGGTTTAGGGTTTAGGGTTTAGGGTTTAGGGTTTAGGGTTTAGGGCAATAAACGGGGTGGTTAGAGAAGGGTTTTGGAGTAGATGACACCATAATTTTCCAAACGAGGGACCTCCAACATAGTATTGGTGATGATAAACCTAAACCTCAAGCCCTAAACCCTTATAAGGATTTAGGGCTTGGGTTTAGGTTTATAATTATCAATACTAAATACTATTTTGGAGGTCCTTCGTATTGAAATTATTTGGGCCCCTATGCCACATCCTTTCAGGGATGCAGAAGAGGATCTGTCGTTGCGTTCCTTTACCGGCTCCAGGACTCCCTAAACCCTAAACCCTAAACCCCAAACCCCCTTTAAGGGATCTCTGAAAATACGTTGGGGTTTCGGGCTTCAGGGTTTAGGGTTTATAGGGTGTACAAGTTTCAGTGTACTTTGTTGGGGGGTTTCGGGCTTCGTTGTTTTGGGGTTTAGGGTATGAGGGTACTAGGTGTGATGCACAGGCGCACGGCACATCCCAACAGCCATTATGACTGAAGCGACCCAGCTCCAACCAGCAAACTGGAACACAAAGCCTCAGTCAAGAATGTTGAGCTCAAAAAGGTGGAGAACCAGCTTTTAGAGGAGCCTGTTGGCATAGCCACCAGTGAACAAAACCTAGTCTAACCCACCAGATGGCATGGATTTCCGTGGCAAGTAGAACCGACCTAAGGTTTAGGGTTTAGGTTAGGGTTTAGGGTTTAGGGTTTAGGGTTTAGGGTTTAGGGTTTAGGTTAGGGTTTAGGGTTTAGGGTTTAGGGTTCAGGGTTTAGGGTTTAGGGGACCCTCTGGTGTTCAATCTCATCTCTCGGTGGTCATAGAACCTACCAGTCAAAGATCTTCTTGGGGTGGTTGCCAAATTGCAGACTGGGGGCCGATTGGTGGGGAGGATTCGAAGGTTCCGGGTTTGGGGTTTGGGGTTTAGGGTTTTCGGCTTACGGTTTACAGCTTAGGGTTTAGGTTGCAGCACCAAAAGTTGACAGATCAGGAAGGAACTGGTCAAAGAACCTGACAAGCTCGACCGAAAGTTTGGTACTATAAGCCCTACTATCAGGGTTATTCCAAGGGCCTTTGTTTGGGCCCCTAGAATCAAAACCCGAAGCCCTACACCCTAAACCCTAAACCCTATTACAAGGGGCCTAAGGCTTACTACTAGTCTCCATTGCAGTTCCTTTCTTGGTTTAACCAAAAATAGTGAGGATCCTATAAGGTAACCCCCCAAAAGGAACTACAATGGAGACTATAGGTACTCTGCTTTTTTTGGTGAAGTCCCACGGCTTCTTGTATGAACGAGCAGTTTCAGGCTCCGGAGGCAATTTGGGCTTGGGGGTTTAGGGTGTAGGGGTTTAGGGCTTAGGATTAGGTTTAGGGTTTAGGGTTTAGGGCTTAGGGGTTTAGAGGTTTAGGGTTAGGGTTTAAGGGTTTAGAGTTTGGGGTTTCCCTTGGCATTTTAGGATTGCAGAGCATTCCGCTGAGGCATGAATCCCTTTGTGCTCGTTTGTGCTTCTACATTTACCTATCTGCAAACTTCACGACAAATGTTTCGAGTTCTCAAGTCATACCTAGCTTCCGAAAACTTATGCTATACATATTACAAACAGTGATCTAGAAATAGACTCCGTGAGCAAACCCTAAACCCTAAACCCTCAACCCTATGTATGATTTAGGGTTTACCCATCGTCTCCTGTGCAGTTCCTCTTTTGGGGATTTCCTTTTAGGATCCTTAATGTAAAGTTGGTTAAACCGAAAAGAAAAGGGAACTACAATGGAGACTATAGGTAGGGGTTAGGGCATGCCCAACATGCCTCTCCGGGCCCTGAGCCACTGGGAAAAACTGCAAGGTCCTAGATGGGTTTCGGGCTTCGAACCCGGAAACCGTGACAAAAAACGCAACGTCGAGTTTGGGGTTGGCGGTTTGGGGTAACCCGGGTTTAGGGTTTGGGGGTTTAGGGGTTTAGGGTTTACGCGCTTTGTAGAGTTCAGGGGTTAGGGTTAGGGCTCAAGGACAATGGCTGTGGTATCCAGATCTTCAAACTCAGAAAGCCCCTCGGCCTATTTTGAATCCTATAAAAGGACCTACTATGGGGCCTATGGGTAGACCCCACAAAGCCCCAAAGCCTCGCAGACCCTAAGCCCTAAACCGAGACTCGTCCGACGGAACCAAAAGAAAAGGCTTCGGGCTCGGGGTTTAGAGTCTGGACCTAGGGCTTAAGGTCCCGGGTCTAGGGTTTCGGGTTTAGGGTCTCGATTTCTGGGTTTAGGGTCCATACCCCTTAGCATCAAAATAGCCCCAAAACCTTATATGATAGGGTCTTTGGGCCCAAAAGCATTAAAACATGAGTCCTTTGAGGGTAAAGGTAGGGTTTACGGAAATGCGTGGGTGACCTGACTCGAAGCCCGCATCTCAAAACGTGCCATTCGGCAACGGGAGATCATGTTCTTTGCGCTTGTGTCGCTTGCGCGGGCGGCAAGCCCGAAACCCCGAACTTCAACACTAAGTGAGCAGAGATAAATGCAACCATCTGAGGGGTGCTAGTCTAAGCTGTTCAGTAACCCACTCGGAACAAGTCTATACTTTTTGGGTTACTTGCAACTGTTTAGGAACCAATAGCCCCCAAAAAATGATACCCTCAAATATCCCAGTAATTAATCTCCAAGCCCTAGGCCCTAGACCCTGAAACCATTAACCTACAACATCCGCATGAAAGCCTCCAGTTGCAGACCAACGATCGCAAAACCTAAAAATAAACACAAAACCCGACTACCTGACAGAACATATCGTACCGGTTCCCACACGTTTCTGTAAGCGAGATCAGCCGACAACTCGTGCTTTCCTTTTCAGGGGCACTTGAAGCTTGGAGGTTGACCCTAAACCCTAAGTGGGCCTTCGGGTTTAGGGTTTAGGGGTTTAGGGTTTAGGGGTTTAGGGTTTAGGGTTTAGGGGTTTAGGGTTTAGGGGTTTAGGGGTTTAGGGGTTTAGGGTTTAGGGTTTAGGGCCTTGAAACTCGGAAGTTAAAACGCCTTACCAGGCCAACGATGCATCCGCGGATTCCTCTGAGGAGGACGGCTCGATCTGCCAGGAAACGAACGAAGTGTTGGGAAGGGTTTAGGGTTTAGGGTTTAGGGTTTAGGGTTTAGGGTTTAGGGTTTGGGTTTAGGGCTTTTGTTGTTCAGGCGGATTTGGGGTCTGCAGCGATTGACCATTTGCCAGGAAAATACAAATTGTTGGGACGGGTTTAGGCAAAGGCTTTCGTTATTCAAGTAGTTTCGGGGTCTGCAGCGATTGACCACTTGCCACAGTTAACCCTTTTAGCCCTGAACAGGCAGCATTTTTTGCTTCCGGCTCCTTTAGAGGCAGGCTTAGGAAATTCCTTGTAACCCTAGCCCCTAAACCCTAAACCTGGCTTTTAAGCCCTAAACCTGGCTTTTACTGTGTGCATGGAAAGACCTAAACCCTAAACCCTAAACCCTAAGCCCTAAACCTGGCTTTTAATGTGTGCATGGAAAGCCCTAAACCCTAAACCCTATACACCCTAAGCCCTAAACCCTAAATCCTAGACCTGGCTTGTAATGTGCTCTTTTCCGACTGCATGGAAAGCGAAAGTTTGGGAAGTGTCGTGCTCAGGCCTCAGGGTTCAGGGTTCAGGGATCCCAGGTACCCGGATACTTTGAGGGTTTAGGGTCAGGGTTTTGGGTTTTAGGGTTTTAGGGTTTAGGGTTTAGGGTTTAGGGTTTAGGGTTTAGGGTTAGGGTTTTGGTTTTAGGGCTTAGGGTTTAAATACTTGTATGGTTTTTTGGGAAGCAGTTGTCCACTACATGGGTAGTTTTCTACATTAGGATCCGGTTTAGGGTCTTGTTTATAAGGGTGCCGTATATTGTTTTGGGAAACCTAAACAGGGACCCGAATGTAGAGAACTACACATATAAGCAACTCGGCTTCAAGGTCCAGGTTACGGTGTCAACATTACCTACAGTCTCCATTGTAGTTCCTTTTTTTGGTTTAACCAAATACATATTAACGAATTTATAAGGCATCCCCAAAAAGGAACTACAATGGAGACTATAGATAGGTCTCAACATGGCTGGGGGTTCGATGGTGCTTCGTTCTTGCAG